AAAGTGAGGAAAAGCGAGGACCTACAACCCAGCAAAGCTTTACTCTACCCAGCAAAGCTATTGTTTAGAATCAAAGGACAGATAAAGAACTTCCCAGACAAGAAAAAGCTAAAGGATTTCGTCAGCACCAAGCCAGTATTACAGGAAATGTTAGAGGGATTTCTTTAAGAAGAAGAAAAAAAAAATGTATCAAAAATGTGAATAAAATGACAATAACTACATATCTATCAACAAGTACTTCAAACGAAAAAGAATTAAAAGCTCCAATCAAAAGGTAAGGCAGCTAAATGGATAAGAAAACAAGACTCTTATAAATGTGGCCTGCAAAAGACTCACTTCAGATCAAAAGACACACCAACTGAAAGTAAAAAGATGGAAAAAGATATTTCATAAAAATGGAAGCAAAAAGGCTGGGGTAACAATACTAATACCAGACAAAGTAGACTTTAAAACAAAGGCTATAACAAGAGACAAAGAAGGACCCAGTAATCCCATTTCTGGGTATTTATCCAAAGAAAACTAAAACACTACTTTGAAGGGACATGTGCATCCATATGTTCATTGCAGCATTATTTACAATAGCCAAGATATGGAGGCCACCTGGTGTCCCGCAATGGATGAATGGATATAGAAGAGGTAGTATATATATACAATGGAATATTACTCAGCCATAAAAATAAGTAAGTAAATAAATAAATGAAATCTTTACATCTGCAATAACATGGATGGACCTAGAAGGTATTGTGCTGAGTGGAGTAAGTTAGGTAGAGAAAGACAAATGCCATGTGATTTCACTTACACGTGGAATCTAAAGAACAAAATAAACAAACAAAACAGAAACAAACTCATAGAACATTTTGAGGGTTACTAGATGGAAGGGGGGCTGGGGATGGGTGAAAGAGGAGGAAGGGATTAAGAACAAATTGGTAGTTTCAAAATAGTCACAGAGATGTAAAATATATAGCATGAGGAATATAGTTAATAATATTGTAAAAAATAATAGTAATATTGTAATAACTATGTACAGTGTCAGATGGGCACAATTTATTGGGGTAATCACTTCACAAGTTATATAAATGTCAAATCACTATTTTGTACACCTGAAACTAATACAATATTGTATGCCAACTATAATTGAAAAATAAATATATATATTTAAAAATAATAGAAATAGAAAAAAATAGTAGTAGAGAAAAGACCAGTGGGTTGCTAGGGGAAGAGGAAGAGGGAGGAAGACGGGCTAGGGAGGGTGAGAGGACACTTTTGTGGGTGATTGATACACTTGATTAAACTCCCTTGATTATGCTGGTGATTTCATGCATATATACATATGTCGAACCCCAAGCGCAAACCCCAAGTGGTAATTATTTGAGGGCCTACTATATACTAGGCACTGTACTTAATGTTTAGCCCTTAATACAGATCTTTTCATATAGGTCTTTATTATCACTAGTTTACAGATTAGCACACTCGGAATCAGAGACGCTAAATACTTGCCCCATTTTACTTACCTAGGACACAAAAAAAATTTTGGAAAAGTAATTTCTTTTCTCTGCAAGTATACAAATATAAAATAAAAACTTCTCTTCCTCCTAGTCATCGTCAGGACTTTCTCTGGCTCTTTAGTTTGAGAGAAGGCATGTATCAATTATATATTCAGATACACACACGAACATACACAGGTTTTGGAAAGCCCTTGCATATTCTTTTTAATTTTGTCATTTCACTCCCAGGCCTATTTTTATTCAATTTTGACTGTACTTTCAAGGTTGTTCTAGCTTCGAACCCTCTTCTGTGAGGCAGGGAGCCCAAGGATACAGAGAGATTGCTTAGCAAATGTCAATAAAGTACTTCAAAGGGATTGGGATATATAAATTGAAAATTGTTATTCTTCCTGTAATAGAAGAATTGGTTGAAATGTTGAATTTCCTTTAGTGAAACGTTTTAATACCTTTCGTTGGTAAAATGGGTTACTGCTAAAGAAGTCCAAACAACCAGTGGTTTGGTGTATGGTAAGGGTTTCTACAATAACACCTGAACAGCAGGAGGTGCAGGTATTTTTCAAAGTAAAATAAGACTGAAAGCAAAGGGTCATGCACCTTGCAGTAAGGTGAGACATCAGTTATGCCCCATGGGCTGTTCAAAGGGGCACAGCAGATGTAAAGAAGGGGAAGCTGGAATGGAGCCACGTAACACATGCCTTCATTTCATTCATGGAGCAGACGGAGCACGGAGCAGATGGCCCCTTACTTTGATGAACGATCAGAAGGGAAGCCCACGGATACATAGAAAATAGGAGCGTAGAAAATGGTTTTAGGGACCATGTGTCAAGGAGAGCTCCAGATGGGGTGGTTAGTCCCTCTTCTCACCCTCAGATCAAAATCCAACAAGAAACTGGAAAGGATGGCCAGTAAAGAGACAAAAAGGAGCAAATGGTTGATGGGATGGGATGAGTGTCCTCCTCTTCATCAAGCCCGCCGTCTTGGCACACAGATCTACATTTTTCATTTTCAGAGTCTGTGCCTCCACCATTTCTTCTCTCTGAAAATTCCTCCTCCTGCACAATCTGAACCCAGCCGTCCTTAGGACTTTGCTCAGATTCTACATCTCTTCAGTTTTCTTAGCCCACAGCACTTGTTTCTTCTGAATTCCCAAATTACTCAGTGTGTATCAGCCATTGCTTCTTTAATTAATAATAAATTCGGTATGTGATGTTCTTTTTTTATAGATAAAGAATTCTCTGGCTTTAAGTGACTTGAGATCTAAGACCATTTTTAAAATCATTAAACTTCTGCTTGGCACAGTGCCTAGAATATAGCAGGTGTTAACATCTTTCTCCTTTGTGCCAGTCAAGGTCATAACACAGATATCTTGTCACATTTGATACAAAAAAATCAGATTTTAGCTCCTGAGAGCACACTGCAATTTGAGAAGCCCTCCGATAAAAGCCATATGGAGAGCCTGAACTATTTGGAAATTATCATAATATATTTGGCAGGTATAATAGCCCATACAAAGAATAGAGCATATTTGGATAAGATGCTGGAAATAAATAGCTCCAAACTGGGGGCAACTGGCAGTTCTTGGCCCTCTTATTACTCTTGATAATGTCTTTTTATTCAGTAGGACTTTTCAGGTTGCTAGCGACAGAAATCAACTCTAACCGGGTTGTGCAAGAAGAGAAGCCCTTCGTTTACAAAGCTCTGGAGCTCACCTAAGCAAGTCAGAGAAGTGAAGGAAGAGATATGAGAATCTGAGCCCCCAGGTCTCTAATCAGAGATCAAAGCCACAAGAAACCTCCCATTTCTGTCTGACAGTTGACTCCACTTGGCTTTATTGGACAAGCATATTCTCTCCACCTATCTGCTAGCAGCCCCCGGCAAACATCCTCCTCTCTGAAACCTTAGAGAACAGATTAGTCCCAGAGAAAGAGAATGACTGGCCTTTCTTAGTCATGTGATCGGCCTTGATCCAGCCACTGCAACCAAGGCGGTGTAAACCTGAGACACCCACCTGTTCACCTTGCGACCAGAGGACAAAGTTTGTTACAGGAGAGGAGGCACAGAAAGCTTATTGTTCCAACAAAAATAACTTTCACAGTCCTGTATGGGTGTGGCATGTGTTTATCAAAATGTTCTTATCAAAATGCCCTCTTTTGAGCTAGGCTCGGGACATTGAATTGCTCCCTTCCAGGATGCCACCTCCATTTTAGGGCTATCAAATTTCCCAAGATTCTGTGAGTCACGTGAGTCTCTAGGTTACCTTGGGATCCCTAGAATGAAAGTCTATTAAGGAAGAAGATGAGGCAATTCTGTTAGTGATGCCTGCCAACAGTGGTTATCAGGATAGTTCCAGAAAGGAATATATTTCATTACCTTCAAGTCCAATAGATCTGACACATAGGTCACACGAAGAGCATTCAGGGAACAAGTATCATGGAGGCACCATTCCTTCTGAATTGTCACGCGGATTTCAAGTCTACTGGAGAAAAATGTAAATGTAAAGGCAAATGAAAAGCAGTCCTATTTTTCTTTGTTCTCATTCCCTGAAAAAAAAATGCTTTTGCCACTATCACATTAAAAGATAGCAAAAACTCAACAAAAAATTATAAATTGCTTCTAACATGTTAAGATAACTTATTTTTGCAAAGATTAAAAACCATGTCGAACTGATTGAAGACCTTTGTCGAGAACATTAAAACATTTATGGTGTAATTTGTATCTGAAAAAATAAAGCATTTGACCATGTTAGTTTCTAAGCATATACAAATGTCACTGAAGAAACAATTAAGAAATTCTGTTTTGCATTCCATCGGAGGCTCACTCCCTGCTTGGAAGAAGTACCCTAGCTATACCAGCCAAAGGAGTGTACTGCCCCTCCTTTGGCTGGTATTCTGTTTCGTGGCTTTTTGGATAGAAGCCTCTAGCTCAGACTAAATCATCCTATCTTTCACCATGGTATAAGTAAGAGTGTGTCAGTAACCCAGAGCTTCCCAAGGTCTCTATTCAGTCTAAGAAAGTTTGAAGTCTACCCACCACGTGCATCTTTTCCCTCTGGGTCTGTGAATCATGAGGCAGATGCAGTGTTAAATAACTACCCCATTTATCAAACAATAACACATCCTTGGGATCCTCCAGTGCTCTAAATCACAGTCTACAATGGGCCGCATGTAAATGGCCACATTTTTCTTCATTAGTCAAGATTAATGAAAGGAATGTCTCATTTAAGAAAAGAATCAGCCGCAAGAATCAGAAGTCATGACTGAATACTAATTATAGAAAGATTGAAAAGGGTTATGATCCTTAGACTTTGAGTTTTTAAAAAATCCCCAAATTCCATGGAGTATCCTCCAAATTACTAAAAATTCCTTTTAAGGAAGCCAATCTCAAATAAGCTATTTCTGTACTCCTTTCTCATTCCTTCACTCAAAAAAAAAAAATGTATTTTTCCCATAATGTGAACAAAACTCCCTCTGGGGTATTTCCCCAGTTCCTTCATTGAAATACACACAAATCATCATTGTACACCTTCATCAATATTCTCAAACATACTCATGTACTTGGAAGCCAGATCCAAAAAAAGAAATCATCACCATCCCTCTTGTGCTGCTTTCCAGTGACTATACGTTCCCCCATGGCTAACAACGTTCCTGTTCTAACATCATACGTATTGGGGGCCTTTTTTAGAAATTTATGTCCCTGTCCAATACATACTGTTCGTGTCTTGCTTCTTTCACTCAACATAATGTTGAGCGAGATTCACCTATGCTGATTCACGTAACCATTTGATTATTGTCATTGTTTATTTAAGTATTCATTATATACATAGAATGCAATTTATCCATTCTGTTATTGATAGACATTTGGCTTTTTTCCAGTTTTGGCTGACACATAAGTTCTACTCTGTTTCTGCCTGCATTCCCATGCTTCCATCTAGGATCATTTTTCTTCTGCCGGAAGAACTCCCATTAAAATTATCTTTGGTGAAGTTCCGCTGTAAAGAACCTCACTGTTTGACTACTCGGAAATGTCTTTAATTACCTTAATTTGGAAAAACAATTTTACCAGGTACAGAATTTGAGGTAGGAAATTTTTTTCTTTTAGCTACTTGAGCATGATTTCCATTATTTACCAGCTTCCATCACTTTGAGAAGTCAGTTGTTTTCTTATTGTTTCTTTAAAATCAAAGTCCTTTTTTATCTGGCAGCTTGAAGATAGTTCTCCTTCTCTTTGGCTTTCAGTAGCCTTATTATGATTTTCCTTGGTATCATTTTCTTTATATTTTCCTACGTGGCATTCAAAAACACTTCTTGAATCTATGGTTTGATGTTTTTCAGCAGTTTTGAAAAATTATCCGCCATTATCTCTTCAAATATTGCTTCTGCCCCATTCTCTCTTTCTTCTTCTAGGATTGCAATTACATATTTGTTATTCTTTCTTATGTCCTATGGTCTCTTGTCCTCATACTTTCCTTTGTCTCTCCATATTTTATTCTGGATATTTTTTTACTGACTTATCTTCCAATTCACTAATTATATCTTGGCTATGTCTAATCTGCTTTTAAACTCATCTATTAATTTTTAAAATTCAGCTATTGTATTTTTTATTATAGAATCCCAGTTCAATTATTTTTATAGATTCCAATTCTCTGCTGAAACTTTCACCTTGCCCTATATTTTCTTGAAAATGTCAATCATATTTTTTAAAAAGCCCATGTCTGATAACTTTAATAAATGTCTTTCAATATGTCTCTTTCATTTTTTCCCTGAGTGTTATTTCTCTTAACTTTTGATCATTTTGTCTTGCTCACTGGAATATCTGATAATATTTTATTAAATGCTAGCATGGGTATGGAATATTTTTTTAAATAGTTTGAAGTTTTCGAAGATGTTCTCTTCCTGCACAGAGCATTTACTTTTCTTTTAGTGGGCCATTAGCCGAGGCAGATCACCTTACACTTCTGAGTTTGTTTCAGTCTCTGTAAGAGCTGATTCTATTCATTCTTACTTCTAATTTGTAATCCTTCAAGGGTCCCAAACAAAAGTCTGATTATTTACCAGATCCTTAACACTTTCACAGATTCCAGTTCTAATTTTTGTTCCTTCAGTTCCATAAAACTGCTAAAAGCTGCCCTCAGTTTCTCAATTTCTTGGCTGCTTTTTAATTGGAAAATACTTTGATAGGAAAAGCAGCTCCAAATGTTAGGCTCATGTCTTTGTTCTATTATTCTGAAGTTATTGATGCTTTACAGCTCTCCAATGCCGTTAAAATTATTATTTTTTTTAATTTATCCAGATTTTTAAGTTGTTATTGTTGGAGTGTTGGTCAGATACAAACTATTCTGTCATAGCTGAAACTGAAAGCTGACCACTCCTTTAGAGGTTATGATCTTAACAGCTATCATATCTGGACTGAACGGAGCACTTTACCATACACTGTTTAGCTCATCAACACTAAGGAGTGACAAGGTTCAAATTAATATTTAGAAATACTACTTAAGAAAAAAATTTTTTTAAAGCAACACTAAATATATGTGAATTCTTATTCAGACTGCTAATGGGCACTTTCTTTTAAATTTCAACTCTACGTATTTCACTTTTCTAAATAATGCAATGATAAACATCTTTGAATATATACTTTTGTGTGTTTCCTGATTATTTCCTGAGTAAACTTCTAAAAACATAATTTCTTGGTTACAGTTGTAAGCATTTTTAAAGCTCCACCACATTTTTGCCTTATTGTCTCCGAAAAGGTTTGGTTATTTACATGCTAGTAATGAGGCTTAATCTTATGTGCATATTTATAATTTTGTATTTTTTTAATTTAAGAAGAGACAGGAAAATATTTTTATCCTGAAAAACATTTTTCCCTATCCATCCAGCTATAAAATTTTATAATGGGAATTTTTATTTTATTCTTCACACACAGCAAAAGATCTCTTTGAGCATGATTCAAAATATATTAAATTTCATCCATAAAGATCTTTTATTCCTGGCAACATGTTCGAGATTATATCAAAGAGGGGGTTTCCTATGAAATTTATGTTATAACCTTAAATGTTTCAATAACTGCTAGGTAGATGTCTGGTGAACAGTCTAACAAGTAGAAAAACACTTAGAATTGTGCACATGGTTTGAAATTTCCAGCGTATTTGGGTGGTTTGACAGTGTTCGTGCATCCTCTGTTGACACCCGCTAGGAAACATCTCATTGACGTATGTTTCATAAGAGTCACTGTATGGCTTGGTTCAGTTCATATGAGGTGGAAAAAACTCGGGTTCTGCACTTTGGAATGACAGGACCAAGCATTGTGCGGCTACCTCTTAGAAAAGCTACAAGAACAGGGCCTAAGGCACCTCAACCAGGGAGGCTGACTTCAAATTACCAGACACGTCTATTATGAAGTGTTGAAAGGAGAAAGAAAAACAAATAATAAGGTTACAAAATAAAGTTTATTTTATCAAAATTAAAACTGCTTCCTTCTCTCCACTTCAGAGTACGTTTGAGATGGAACAGTCTGAGGATTACATTGCTATAATCCCTTAGCAGTTAGTTCCACACCAGGAGGTGCCTGCTACAGACAAAATTGTAGGGTTAGGAATGTTCACAATTCAGTGACCTGATTGGCTGACTATTCCTCAGGGCTTTTGAATCAAATATTTATACATCTAAATGGGAGCAAAGAAAGGAAAATGGTTCATAAAGGGAGTCCCAGAGCATGTATTATTGAAATAACAGATGGAATATTATATTTTTGAAACATTCTTTCTATAAAGAAGTCTTTTGAAGTTTGTTTTGGTAGGATAAACTGAGCCAAGAGTGTTGGAGAGAGAGAGAGAGAGAAAAAAAAAAGGTTTTATTTTCAAATGTTTAGTGTCAGCAGTGTACAAAGTTAGCATTTCCCAAAAAAAGGCATGCCTCAAAACGCACTGCAGAACAATGTGTCTGCAGAGTCGCTACTTTACGTAACAGTCCCAGGGTAGGGATAACTCAGAAAACACTTGACTGTCACTGCCTTGTTTGCGTGGACAGTCTCCAGAATCTCAGACCTCCGAAATCTTTGCAGAAGGTGTCTGTCTGGCCTCTCCCTGCTGAATTCTTCATGTTTCCTAAACCGATTGAAACCTAAGCTAACACTCAGGGCACCATCTGACACAAGTCGTGGGCCACCTCCTACTTGCTGAGATTTCGGTAACAAGCAGATTAAGATTGTGGTTTTTATGCCACATGGACAATATCACTGGGTCATCCAGTCCGGGTCTGAAGAACAAAAATGGAAGCATGCAATACAAGGAAAGCCGGGCAGAAGGCCACGGGAAAAATTCGCCACACTTGCTTTATTTTCCTCCACATGGGAGCCTGAATCCATGACAGAACCAATAGTTCAGAATTATTCTGTTGTCTTTCCAGGAAAAATAGCCCATTACTAAGCAATCGATTTGAAGTGCTCCATGGTCAGTCCAATTTCTCCATCATTTAGCTCTCAGGACATGGTTCAGTTAGCCTGCTCGTCTCAGCTATTAACTGGATCTGTTATATGATGATGTGATTTATTGCATGGCAACTGGAAGTTACTTTGGCCAAGGAAAGAGAAAGAATTTACAGAAACACAATTATTTTGACCTCGTACCCAGATATGATCTCTATCTGTGATAGGAATTGAATGTAATTCCTGGTAGAGTCCATTCTCATAAAGAACAAAAGGAAGAGTAGCCTGGGAGAAGGGGTAATGGTTACAATGCAATAAATAAAGGAAGTTCAT